TAAAAAAAAAAAAAAAAAGAATGCAAGGATGGTTTAACTACAAAATTCAATCAATATTATACACCATATTAATAGAATGAAGGAAAAAACACATGATCATTTCAAATGAAAAAAAAATCCAGCACCCTTTCATGATAAAACAAAACAAAAAAACCAAACACCTTATCAAAGCAGGAATAAAAGGAAACTTTCTGAACATAGTAAGTGTATGCGAGGGCACCTGGGTGGCTCAGTTAGTCTGCCTTCAGCTCAGGTCATGATTCCAGGGTCCTGGGATCAAGTCCTGCATTGGGCTGGCTCTCTGCTCCATGGGTAGCCTGCTTCTCCCTCTCCCTCTGCCCGCCACTCCCTCTGCTTCTGCTTTCTCTCTCTCTGTAAAATCTTAAAATAAAACAAAACAACAACAAAAAAAAACACCAACCCCTCCCCAGGGCCACCTGGCTGGCTCAGTTGGTAGAGCATGTGACTCCTGGTCTGGGGGTTATAAGTTCACACCCACATTTGGGTGTAGAGATTAGTTAAAAATAAAATCTTTAAAAATAAATAAAAATTAAAAAAAACTTTCCCAGTATTCAATGACTGCCATACAATATTCCACAAGGAAATGACTCAAAAAAATATATATACCCTCTATGACTTTAATAAAAATAAAGTGGCAAGAACAGGCAGTAAAAAGGGAATATATTCCACAGGTTTCTGGCAACACAATCAGGATCTGACTCCTACTTGTTGTAGACCCCCCTTTTATACCTAAACCAGAGTGTCTAAAGACATTTTTCACACACAGCCTTTTACCACATTATGTACAGAGGTGGAGATCCAGTGGTGACATTCCAGGAGACTTAATCACAGAGGTGTGTCTGGACAAACAGCTTGACCATGTGGATGATAGTTTCCATTTTCAAATGTGATCGGCTATTGAAGCACTTGATGACACTATGTTAGGGTGTTTTAATATATTCAGTCTAAAAAAGAGTCAATCATCAGTTTGGGGACAGTTCTAAGCTAACAGAGATAGCCTGGTCCGAACTATGAGACTTAAAATGATTCGGAACTGCAATGTTTCCTACAAGCAGCAGGAAAAAAAAAAAATCAAATACTACATAACCATGACCAAAAAAATTAACAGGAGTAAATAAGGTTTCCTTCTATATTGCTGAAGTTACCAATTTATATATGCTTTGGCTTACTGATTCACAAATTCTTTAGAAGATTCAAATTTAAAACAAAGAAAGCTCTTGATAATCTTTTTCAATTTAAAAAAAAAAAATTTTTTTTTTCTTAAAGTAGGCTCCATGCCTAGTGTGGAGTCTAATGCGGGGCTCAAACTCACGACCCTGACTGAGATCAAGACCTGAGTAAAGATCAAAAGCCAGAGACTCAATGGACTGACCACCCAGGGGCCCCTCAATTTTTTTTTTTTTTACTAACGGTATGAGCACATGCACAGTAATAATCTGGATGTTGTCATTACTAAATATACAGGGCACTTAGTTTGCAGTGCTCTTCAACATGTTATCATATTTAATTTAAAACTGTTAAGCAGGATGATTTGTACATAAAGTTATAACCTAGCAAAACGGTAACTCTTTCAAATTCTAGGAGCATTCAGTGAGAAATGTAGTCAGCTTAACCTAAATCCCACGAGCCACATGAAAACAGAATTCATAAAAATAAACCTGTGTTTCTATATGAGGGGATAAAAGGAAAGGAGTTTTTTTGGGGGTAAGTGTAGAAATAAGGGGTGAAAAATAAAATGTAATCCCATCTAAATTTGATGTATTTGGTATTTTAAAATCCAAGCTATGCTGATAGGTTTAACATACATACCTTCTTACTTGGGGAAAAAAAATACATACCTTCTTTCTGCTAACATTTCATAAAAGTCTCTAATATCTTGACCAGATTTTTCCATACAGTGATAAAATGCCAGCTGACTTTCCCGATTTGCAAAGTCCACCTTAAAAAGAAAGAATAGCAGGTGTTTGATTCAAGTTTCAGGTTTTCAAGATGGAAAGCATTATTGAATTTGAAAATCCTTCCCAACATAGCCTTCTGGATAAACTTCAAGAGCAATCTGTCTCAACTAAAAATAGTCCTAACTGAAACTATATTTTGTTAACGTGAAATCTCTCTCAAATTCAATAGAAATCTCGATACAGAAGTATAATTTAAGGTCTCAGAACCCAATACTGAAGGAGTGGAAAAGGCAAAATGGAAAACTGAAACAATACCTATCGAGAGTTGCCAAATAATCAGATCAACTAAACCCAGAATCTGTGTTAGATGTAAATTTGCTGGAACCACAGTTAGAACATAAAATAAAATATGGAAGAACATTTAAACTTCACTCACAGCTGGACCTCAGAGTCATTTAAGCCTATGATACCCATCATCTTTCAATATCTTATTTCAAAAGACTCGTTTCAATTTAACCATCATAGGTATTAAGTGCATAAATTCCTTCAAATTATCATGAACAGGAGAAGAGGAAGAGAGGATCATTCAGGAAGCTGGAATGAGTCATACTTTGAGCTCCTGGGCGTGCAGGTACCCACACGTGAATGTGGGCCAGCCTGCACCAAGAGCATACATGTAAGCATCAGGTACCTGGAGTGTAAAGAAGCACATTTCCTTAAATGACATGATTTTTAGGGAAAATTCTGTGGCTAATGACCCTGTGGCCTCAAGTAGCCAAGTATACAAATAGTAATATTCCCTTTAAAAACAGGACATACACTGCATATCCTATAAACCACTCCCCTTGCTGGCCACCTACAAAATGCATTATTAAGAGGGTGGGATCTCAATATGATTTTGTTTCACTTCTGTTTAAAGTCATTCTGCACACCTTAATTTTATTCCCACCGATTTTCCTCCCCTTGGTCTCTTTTACAGCTGCTTGTGCATATTCAATTTCATTGTAGAGAACCAGGGCCATGCCTTTTAAGCGGTCAAACACCACCTATAAAAAACAACAAAAAAAAAACAAAACAAAAACCAAATAAGAGCCTCATCCACTAGACTTAAGTGTCAGTCCCAAGAAAATCCTAAGTCTCAAGGATGCTGCAAAGAAAAAACATATTTATATGTTTTTTATTCTAGAAAAAATATCAGGCTTTTCCTGGTGATTCATGTTGTAGTGAAAACACACAATAAAAATGTGGAGGGACTGTTTACAATTGTGGATATTGTGGCTTGAAGTATATCATGCCTTTATTTTGTTTTTCTGTATTTTATTTTCCATGTTGACTGAGTCCTGTACTATACTCAAGTAAGCATTCTTATAGTTCTGGCTCAAAAAAAAAAAACCACACCCTTGAAAGAGAGAAAACGATGTAGAACACTGAATCAACAATAAATTTCAGTGAATTCTGGTTATAAGTAGAATTCTTAACTTAAAGCTGCTGGATTTTTTATTTATGCTAGCAGTCTTTATGATGTGTGTCTCTCCAAATGACAAAAGCTACACTGAAAGAAATGCCGTGCCCACCACAGTGTGAATCTGCTCTTAAGGAGTTCAAAGCTCTCCTTTCACATAATGGAATGGGGTCCAGAGACCCTCCTCCTGCTGGGCACAGGTATGTACATTACCAACATCGGTTAGATGTGTATTCTGTTGTATGATCGTCCCTTTAAAGTCATCTTGTTTTTTTAATGAAGTCAATTACATATTAATGTGAATATAAATAGACTAATTTTAATGAGATAAAATTATAAAAACCCCTAAGAAACATTCTATTTAACAGTATTATGCAAATTAGTTTCAAAATTAATCTTGGCTAGTTCAAAATAGTTTTCCAAAATACTTCCTCATATCATAAGCTAACAGACACAGATGCCCTTCTATGACAAGTTATGAGTGATTAAAGAAAATGTCAACACTAAAACTTGGGGCTGACAGGACAGAATACCGAGAATAGAAGTCAGAAGTAACTTGACACCAACACCAAAACCTCCCACTTACCTTTACCACAGGCCCATATCGGCAGAAATGTCGTGTTAAATACTGATCCGACACGTTTGAAGAAAGCCCGTCTAACCACACGCAGTTTGTAGGCATGCTTTTTCCAAAACCCAGCTGGATAGGAGAGGTGAAATTTCTATTAGTAAAGTCACCAATTATTCAACTACAGATTCTGAAAAAGACCGGTCTTCTGTAGGAATCTTATCGACCATCATCCCAAAGGGCAACCATCTGGTTAAAATCAAATAGAAATTTATATAAAACCAATTCTGCCAGGCTAAGCAAGTATTAATTCATCACATTTTAGTTTATGGACTCCAGGCACTTAGCTTTTTTTTCTCCTCCCAGATTTTATTTTTTATTGTTATTTATTTTTAAAGATTTTATTTATTTATTTGACAGAGCACAAGCAGGGGGAGCAGCAGGCTCCCTGGTGGGGCTCAATCCCAGGACCCCGGGATCACATGAGCCGAGACGCTTAACCGACTGAGCCACCCAGGCAGCCCTATTTTTATTTTTTAAAAGATTTATTTATTTACAGAGCACCTGGGTGGCTCAGTAGGTTAAGCGTCTGCCTTCAGCTCCCGTCATGATCCGAGGGTCCGGGGATTGAGCCCTGTGTCTGGCTCCCTGCTCCGCGGGGAGCCTGCTTCTCCCTCTCCCTCCCCCAGTTTGCACTCTCTCGCTCGCTCTCTCAAATAAAATTTTAATTTTTTTTAATTTTTAATTTTTTTAAAGATTTTATTTATTTGACAGAGAGAGCACAAGCAGAGGGAGAGGAAGAAGCAGGCTCCCCACGGAGCAGGAAGCCCGATGCGAGACTCGATCCCAGGACCCTGGGATCATGACCTGAGCCAAAGGCAGACGCTTAACCGACTGAGCCACCCAGGCGTCCCTAAATTTTTTTTTTTTTTTTTAAAGAGTTATTTAGGGGCACCTGGGTGGCTCAGTCGTTAAGCGTCTGCCTTTGGCTCAGGTCATGATCCCAGGGTCCTGGGATCGAGCCGAGCCCTGCATCGGGCTCCCTGCTCCGTGGGGAGCCTGCTTCTCCCTCTCCCACTCCCCCCACTTCTGTTTCCTCTCTCCTGCCTCTCTCTCTAATAAATAAATAAAATCTTTAAAAAAATAAATAAATAAAATAAATAAAATAAAATAAGAGAGTTATTTATTTATTTATGAGGGTGGTAGAAGGAGAGGGAGTCTCAAGCAGACTCCATGCTAACAGAGCCCGATACGAGGTTGCATCTCACGACCGTAAGATCACAACCTGAGCAGAAACCAAGAGTCAGACACTCAACCCACTGTGCCACCCAGGTGCCCCAATATTTTATTTTTTAAGTAATCTCTACACCCATCATGGGACTTGAACTTACAACCCTGAAATCAAGAGTCACATGCTCTACAGACTCAGCCAGCCAGGCACCCCAGCAAGTATTAATTCAGTTTATAGTATAATAGGATGAGGATGCAAAGAATTGTATCACCTTTATGATTATCTAACTGTACTGCAATTTTAAATAATCAGACATACACACAAAAACCCTCCAAATCGTAACAAATCATAACAGCACGATAACTTATGCAAAGTCCTTTACCTTGAGGCGATTATTTCCAAGGTACTCCCCATCCATCTTCTTAATAGCCTTACAAACACTGGCAATATCACAGTATTGCAAGAATGCATACTGAGGAACTCCATTTACTTTCTTAATATCAATATCCTGAAAAAGCCAATGAGCACCACTTAGTGACATGCCAAAAGGAAAAAAAGCAGAATAATCCAAACCTAAATGAGGTGCGAATTTCTCAAAACAAGTCATATTCCCAAAAATCATTTTCTTAGTTAAAATTGTACATCGTGATGCAACTGTAAATAGCCTGAAAGGACTACACAACACAGCATTTTTTAGTCACAACCATGAAAACCTTCCTATGTGAAGCTCTTTGCAGAAGAGAAATTGCAAACTCAAAATTTAAAATCCACAATACCTGTGTTAAGAGAAATTTATAACAAAAAGGTTGTACTTGTTTCAAAGCGGTACATATACTAAAACTGGAACAATACAGAGAAGATTAATAAAGAAAAAGGCAATAAACCTAATAAAAATATTAAATAAAGGTTTTATTTAATAAAAACGTAAGAAATACAGTTGACCCTGAACAACAGTGTGGTCGCAGGGGCAGGGGGGCGGTTAGGCACCAACCTCCAAGGGAGTTGAAAATCCACATATAACTTTTGACTCCCCCAAAACTTAACTACCACAGCCTACTGTTGACCAGATGCCTTGCAGATAACACAGGCAATTAACACGTATTTTGTATATATTATTATTACTGTACTCTTAAAGTAAGCTGGAGAAAAGAGAATGTTATTAAGAAAATATTAAGGAAAAAAAGTTCACATATAAGTGGATCCATGCAGTTAAAACCCATGCTGTTCAAGGGCCAACTGTAATTCCCTTCTGCAACAATCTAAAATCCTTATTAGGGGCAGGCCATTTAAAATACAGTATCTGAGAAGAGCACAAATGGTAAAGAAATCAAGTTTTCAGGGGCACCTGGGTGGCTCAGTTGGTTAAACGACTGCCTTCGGCTCAGGTCATGATCCTGGGACCAGCGGGGAGCCTGCTTCTCCCTCTGACCCTCTCCCCTCTCATGCTGTTTCTCACTCTCTCTCTCTCAAATAAATAAAATTAAAAAAAAAATTTTTTTTATCTGACAGAGAGAAACACAGTGAGAGAGGGAACACAAGCAGGGGGAGTGGGAGAGGCAGAAGCAGGCATCCCGCGGAGCAGGGAGCCCAATGCGGGACTCGATCCCAGGACACTGGGATCATGACCTGAGCTGAAGGCAGATGCTTAACGGATTGAGCACCCAGGCGCCCCAAATAAAATCTTTAAAAAAAGAAAGAAAGAAAGAAATCAAGTTTTCAAAAAGTGTTTTTTGTTTTTTTTTTTTTAAGATTTTATTTATCTGACAGAGAGACACAGCGAGAGAGGGAACACAAGCAGGGGGAGTGGGAGAGGGAGGCTTCCAGCTGAGCAGGTAGCCCGACACAGGACTCAATCCCACATGACCTGAGCCGAAGGCAGACGCTTAACCAACTGAGCCACCCAGGCACCCCTCAAAAAGTGATTTAAAATTTGCAATCCTAAATTAGAAGACTCATTCTGTCAGTGTATCTAATGGAACCAAGCCTGGTGACTGATATATATCCTCTCATATCCAGAATCAATATATAAATACCCAAACTACTTTGTGAAGATGTATCAGAACACCATCCCTAGATTAAAGAAACTCTATAAAGGCATAACCCCATCTCTTTATTTAAGTTTATTTATTTTTTAAGTAATCTCTACACCCAACATGGGGCTCAAACTTACAACCCTGAGATCAAGAGTCCCATGCTTTTTCAACTGAGCCAGCCAAGCGCCCCTAGCCCTATCTCTTTAGAATGCTTGAAACCTGTACTCACACCTGACACTGTGGTCCTGCCTACTCAGACAAGGTGGTGTAAAAATCTGGCTTACCTACACATGAAAATGGTCCAGAGAGGCAAAACTTATACTTAAAACAATAATGACCCATATTGTGATTATCTAAAGTATTCTGTAAATCACAATCTAAAGTATTGTGATGATAGAAGCCTCTTAAGGGTCATAAGCCAATAATTGAAAGCTGAAATAGAGCAAAACGAATAATGCATTTAAAGAGCTATTTGAGGAGTCCTTTAAAAAAGCAGTAATTTATATTCAAAATAGTTCTACTTAAGTAATGGTAAGCAGGAGCTGATTTTCACCAAAATGTAGAAAGTAACAACCCAGGATAACTCCATTTAAGAGATAGGTCAGAAATAGGTCTCCAAAGAGTACTGGTGGGTAGACTCACCACATAGGTTGTTCTAGCTATAGCATAATCTGTTATCGATAAGCAGCAGACCATTTTCCCAAAGTTTGTGTGTCAATAAAATAGTTACCCTCATAAGCAACTGCAAACACGAGATGTGGTTTTCAAACAGAATGTTGACGTGGCCACCTTACTGAGAAGCATGGCTCTTAAAACACAATAATCACTCCATTTTCAGCAACCCTGTTGATGAAAATGTACCTAATGTGTCCAAATACAACTTCTTATACTGCCCCAAAATTCAAAGTAGCAGCCACACTCAAATGTAGGTCTGAAAGTTTTATCAATTATGAATTAACTCATAAATGCCAATGAGCAAATTATTAGATCACTGTCTAAAGACAGAAAAGCTGGAGCCCACAGAGGCAGGTGAACTCCAGGTCACTCACCGAAGCAGGCAGTGCAGCTGCAATTAGAGTATATGATAAAAGAACTTAATTGAAAAAGAAAGGAAAATGTATGTTTTTCTGTTTCGCTAAATATATACCTTCTGTTTTTTCTTGACTTTCTACCAACCACTTCTCTCTCGTCCCTACTCCCTATGAGGTTAGATCAGCTACAAGCACAAATGTTTTATTCTCTAGATTACGTCACTAAAAAAAATAAGATTTTTGCTTACAACATCAGCGTATAGATAAGGATGGATAGCTGGATGGACACACACACACACACACACACACACACCCCTGAAAGATTAACAACTGCTGTCCCTACCCAGATAAGGATGGATAGCTGGATGGACGGACACACACACACA